TCAAACATGGAACTGGCACCGTGAGTGGCTGGGGGGGCCAGCTGTTCCCGGGGAAGGGGGACACAGTCCTACAGGTTCTGAAAGTCCCATTCGTTGACCGTGCAACGTGCATGAGAAGCAGCACGTTTTCTATCTTACAGAATATGTTCTGTGCTGGTTACCATTCAGAGGCTAAAGATACCTGTGAAGGGGACAGCGGGGGCCCTCATACCACAGAAATAGAAGGTACCTGGTTTCTAACTGGAATAACCAGCTGGGGGGAAGAGTGTGCGTTGAAGGGCAAATATGGTATCTACACCAGAGTATCAAGGTACGTCAGGTGGATAAAAGATAGAACAAGAGGTTAATCAACATAGAGCTAAACCTTTCTATTGCTTTTCTGTGGATTGGCTGATTAGGAGATGTTGGTGAGTGTAAAAAAACCCTAATTTGTTTTTCTTAAAATGTTGCATTTTAATAAACAATTTTCATAGAATCAATTTTTCTCTTTGAAGATAAATATTTACACAGGGAGTTGAGAGTACGTGTGGTTAAAAAGGAAAAAAATGCATTCATTGTAAATGGCCAAATTCTACCCTCATTCATGAGCATGCCACTACCTTCGAAGTCACTGAGTGTCGCCTGTTTGTAGCAGAGGAGATTTATTAACGTGTAACACTGGTTCTCATGATGTAAAATAACCTGAAAGCACAGACCTATTAAACTCACGTGAAAGTAGCTGCAGGATTTGTGATACTGATTTCTGCCGAGACTTGATTCAAGGTTATGAAAAGATAATTGTATAGCCTCTATCTCCATAACTTAACATTCATTGTATTATTCAAAGTTAATTAAAACTAGCGACCAGATCCTCTGCTAGTGTAGACTGATGTCACTCCATTAACTTCAATGGACCCATGCACATTTATTTATACCATGGGAAGAACTGGCCTGATAGTTTTAAAGCTCATACCCATAAATGATAGAACAAGGAGGATTGTAAGTATTTGAGAATAGATGTCATTCCAATGGGAAAGCAAGTAATCTGGACTTTGTATTCAATGGGATTTTAACCTTAAAAACATTTTAATTCACTAAGGCCCAGGGTCTCAGAAGTATTTAGGCACCTAACGCCTATTGAAAACAATGGGAGTTAGGTGCCTCTGAGGATCTGGGCTTTACAGCCCCCTAGTAGGAGTCCTCTAGTTATTCCAGGGGGCAGTGGACTAGGTCTGTATGGTCTGTTGCTGTTCCTATTCAAATGAATGATAGCTTTGCCTCTCGAATCAATCAGGCTCTTGCACAATACACTCAATCTATTCATGCAACATAAACACCTTTGTCCAGTCTTGTGTCATATCCCTTTGATCTTCCCCGGACTCAAGGCACTTACATTATTAAGACATTATTGTGCTTTGGGCATCATTGGTTAATTCTAACACTAAAAGCATTAATAGATAAACCTGACGATGGAATATCTAAAAGGGGTAAAAATATTGTCCTTTAAACTCTGAAATTTTGAAGCATCGTACGCTCAGCCACAAGAAGAGAAAGTGAACATTTGGGTAACAATTTACCAAGTTCCACCCACTTTTGTAGCCTCCAGATTCACCTCCTCATTGCTCTCAGAATATCCTTAGCTACTTAACTGGAAAAAGCAGACAAATGCTGCCGAGTCACTGGCTGTTAGAATAAAACAAAGCCTTGTGTTGTGCAAGTACCTGTCTAATAAAGTAATGCACATTCTAAGTATGGGATTCAATTTTTGCTGGAAGTATTAGTTGCTTATGGTTACAGGAACTAAATACAACTCTATCATTAGGGCTGAAATCTTTGGTGTGGCAGCACATTTCAGTTGTAGCAAAACCATCGCCTAAAGAACGCGCACTGAGTTGAGATGTGGGATGAATGCATCCAGAGGTTTTGCATCGTTTTCTTGGTAGTTTAGATATCTAAACTAATACTTGATTCAGTGAAAGGGCG